ATTAGTCTGTCTGTTTCACATTCATGTTTTCACCATCTCTAGAGGAAAAAAAAGAAAAAATTTTGAAGCTAAGTGTTGTATTATATCAGTTATTTTAGGTTTTCATTCATTACATTGAGTTTTGTTATCTGACTTAAAGGAGTTACAGCAATGATGATCTTGCTGCTTTTTGAATAATAACTTGGCAAGGGGGATCTGTTGTCTATAGCGATAATAAAGTAATCATGAATAAGAAAGCCAAGAAGCTTGTTGAGTAATGACAGGAAGGATCATTCTTTTCATTTTTTCCAATGTCTCTTCCCTCCCTTCTCCTCTAGAGTTCAGCTCTCGCTTTTCAGAGAGACTCAATATAATTAAATAAGCAAGTAATGTAAAATGTCATCTCCTTCTTTAATCTTCCCTCCAATGTTAGTTCTAGGAATGTTATTTCATCTTCTAGAAAAGCTTATAGAACTTCTTTTTTTTTCCCCATCTACATTAACCCCTCTGCATCTGATCTTTCTCTTTTACTTAAACTAGTGCAAGGTTTCACCTTCGTGCCCATCTTATAAACAGATGTGCACGAAGGTTATTACACTCTTTTTAGAGTTTCTATAGGTATATTTATTATGTTCATTTACCTAYATTTTATTACAAATACATAATTTTTGTGCAAGGTAAGATTGCAAGAGATTTTTGAAAAAAAAAATGCTACATAGAGTATTAATCGTGGTAGTCTGCAAAAGCAACAAGAACAGGCAATTGTCTGTCAAATCCGAAGAACTCCTACTCATATTGCAGGTTTGGGACTACTATTCTGGCAGTGAGGCTAAAAACAGAGTCAAGGTCCAGAACATGAATTGCTACAGTTTTTCTAATGCAAAAAGAATCCTCTGGATTTCTAGGATTTTCAAGTTCAGACTCTTTAACCAGGAACACTTGTATTGTAATCTTGTAATTTTGTGTTGTTGTTCACCCTTTAATAAACTTTTGTGCATTTGCTCTTTTATAATTGAATTTAAATGAGAAGTGAGCATTCAGTTTTTGAAGTAGTGGTCTTGACCCTCCTGAAATTAAGACCCAATTAAACACTGAAATGATAAGTCCATTTCTTTATGTAACAAAYATAGTATGAGATTTCCATTCATAGGAAGTCTCATCAAATGCATCAGGTATATGCACCAATCTGAATCCTGATTTTTGTATTTCAACAGTGTATCACAACACAAGGAGTTAAAGTCGTAGTCTGTGTGCTCTTACACTTTGTCACCTGCACAATTGTCACATGGAAGGATTAAATATTTCCTACTGGCTTTATTTTWTTTTTAATTGTGCAGTTTACTCAACTGTTAATCTTGCTGCTATTTTCTTGCAATTGTAAACTGCGTGGATCACTTCAGGGATCATTAAACTACATAACAATGAGATGACACCTCTACTTTTCAGTAGAGGATTGACTGGAAGCAATTTTCGGAGACGTATGATCCACCAGAGCTGGTTAGAGGAACAGTCCACAGAGCTGAATAAAACTGCTTTTTTTTTGTGAGTGAGACTCATTTATGGACATTGAWCTCAGTTTTCTTCCTCATTTATGCTTCTACTTACAAGTCTGAGACAGAGAAACAGTAGACCAAAAGAAGCCATAAAAGCTTAGACAAAGAACTGATACAGCTGCTGCATAATGAAAGCATGTTTGAATCTCTGTGCGCAGCATTCAGGGTGAAGAGAAACAATAGCTTGCATAGAATTAATTATGCTGGGTAGAATTCAGCTCTTAGATAACTCCCTGAGACTAACACACTGCACTTCTGCTTTCTTCTAAAGGAACATTATTTTTACATTTCATTAAATGCAAAAATGAGATTAATGCAGTATGAAGTCTTACATTTTATATCAATGTAGATTACAGCATCCTTATTTAGCATTCCTTATAAATGTGCTTCATTACTGAGACCTGGTTATATATATGTGTGTGTGTGTGCGTATATATATATATATATATATATATATATATATAAAACCTGATATGCATAAACAAGTAATTCCTGGGTAGTCATTTTTTCCTTACTTTTAATTAATTATTCCTTTTCTTGTTGTCAGGTCAAGATTTACAACATGATTAATATGTACCTGTTTTTATTTTGCTTTTTGTTTTGCTTTTGCTTTTTTTGAATTAGTTATTGACCTGAGATATTTTTGTTACAGCTAACAGGGGATAGYTTGAGGCTTGAAGGACTATATATTGAATTAGCTTTTTGGAACTGAAAAAAACAAAAGTAAAACAAAGAAAGTAAAAGTTTTCCTGTCATATGTGTTCAGAGCCATTATTTACCCTTTTTTTTGTATTAAATAGTTAAAAAAAATTACTATTTTTGCTTTTAGCTATTTAAGGGCTCTGTATCTGACTGTAAGTTAATATTTTCCTTCATCCATGTTTTGCTTTCTAGATATTTCTGTTGATCGTAACTAGGCATGCAGATCTAGTCATGCATGCAGCTGCCAGGCAGCTGTGTTTAATCTCACTAACTTTTCAGTAGTTAGGGACTAGTTCTGTATCCTAGCAGAGATAGGTCCTAGAGACRCTGAAGTTTCCTCTCAGGTCTTACCAGCTGATAGGACACTTAAGCAGATATGTTGGGATTTTATAGAAAATGTGGCCTTGCCGAGTATCTGAATGTGACCAAATGTCTTGCCTGCAGTCAGTTATAGTTGGGTAGAGTTGTGAGTAGAGAAATGAAGCTGATCTTTCTGTAGCATCCCATAACTTAAGATGAAACCTCCTTAATTCTTTAGCATTTCAGTGATGGTGTCTCTGTTCCTCCAATGTAGGAGAAAGTTTTGCTGTGTTCATTCAAAACCCAGAGAAATTAAACATTGTCAAAGAACAGACTGTAGTTCGTGAATCTTCTGCCTGCAAAATGTTTGTGCCTGTGCACTGTGTGCAGTATAAATTATATCCCCTCTCCGTTCAGATTTGGACAACCATGTGAAATTGCATGCAACTCCTTCCAGCTATTTACCATCTCATATGAGATCACTTTAGAACTTTAGTTCAGATTTGACATATTCGCCTAACTCATACCTTCAAGCTTTTATAATGCATGACATAAGTAATCATTAACATCTCCTGGGCTATTGCTCATGTGTTTAGAGTATGTGCTTAGAGTCCCCAGGGTGGTATTAACACAGCAAATAAGATTTCTTTTCTTCAACCAAAGAACAGGTGAAAACAGTAAAGCAATTGGATCTGTCCTTAGGCTGTATRAGGAAAGGACAGTAGCAGGTGCTTTTATTCTTCTTCTTTTTGCAGACATGGTATTTTGCATCAGTAGTGTATTCAGATATAGCAGTGTTCTTCTGAGAGTTAAAGGGATGTCAAGCAAGGTAGAAAGGCTGATAGCATATATTTAGTATGTATCAAAGACCTGGATTTCTGTTCTTATTAATATTGCTTGCTTTATTTTCATTTTTAGTTTTTCGGAAAGCCATTCAGGATGAAATGATACAGGAAAAAAAGTAATGAAGCTATGTGGGAGGGAAAAAATGTGTGCATTCCTATGTATGCCTAAAATTCAAGGTAGTAAATTAACCCTGTCAAAGATCATTAGATTCATGGCTTAAAAATGCCCAGTGTTTTTATGTAAAGATTATGGTAGATCTGAGAGGAATGGATGCTGAATCTCTGAATTGAGAATATTGACTGGAGGAGGATAAAGATCAGGACAATCCTATGCTTGAAAATACCATTTGCTTTGAAGAGATCGCACTAGCAAAAGGGCCAAGATTTACCCCTCTATTTTGGGGGTTTACTTGCTTGTTATTATTGTTTACTTGCTTGCTTTTTCACAACTTTTCATGCAGTAGCATGTGCAGTGCCTTGTGCCTAATGGCATACTTCTTCATTTGAGTTCTTCAGGCCTCTGATTCTCCTCCTATCTATTGGTTATTGGGACAGAGTGGATGGGTCTGCTCTTCTGCTGTGCTTGTACAATACCTTGTGGAATGCAGTTAACCTCAGTCCCATCACAATGAAGAGGGACTGCAAAATAATAACAATTTTTTCAGTCATTTGAAGGTGATTCAACACCCTTTTGGAGAGTTACTTGCCATGCAAGTATCTTCTGTTCTCCCACATGGATATAGCAACATCATCATCTTATCAAGCTCTTATGCCATTGATACTTCTTTTACACTTTGAAACAATCATTTGTTGTTTCTCACCCATGTATATTACTGTCTGCCTTCCTGCATTATCCAGATATGCCTGATGTTTCAGAGAGCAAGCAGTCAAAGAAATTGTCAGGCACGTGAGCAGGGTGGGTCTTCTGATGTTGTGTATGGGATAAACAGAACCTGGACGCTGACCGCAAGTGGTTTAGAAGCAGCTTACTGCAGCCGTTCTGAAGTAACTTGGCATGTCTTCTTGCAGTATCAGTCTAAATAGATKATATAATTTTGAATTTTTCAGCATGCACTGTATGCCTAGACTTCAGGGACTTAAAATATGTAAATTGAAGTAACTGCGTAGAGGACATAAAAGAAATGTCAAACATGAGAACTTTGCAGCATAAGAATAAAATATATTAATGACAAAGATTTTTCTATTATTTATGAAAAAGATTGCTTTGAAGAGATGCATGTAAACAAGAATAATAGCAAAGCTGTGAATTAAATAGTGACTTTAAAGCAGGCGTCACACAGCACTGCTTCRTATGACACCTTCCACTAAAGTTTGCTTACTTGGGAATTATAAAAGGATGATTTCTGTTTTAAAGAGAAGAAATTGTGAATGGTCTAGAAGAAKTACCTCATCCTCATAAACAGGGGAGTGACATCCTGCACATAGTGCTTCATACTTCAGATATTTTCTTCCAAAAACTTTGTATTTTTTTCCTTGCATTTATTTAAGGCAACCTGTTTTTTCAAAAATTATGTTTTAATTTGTAAGAAAGTTAGTTAGATTGTAGTGAACTCATCTAGGATGTGTATTTATCCTTACAATTATTTATTCTTATTCACAGGAATTCTCCATGAGTGCTAATGACATAATGAATGGGAAGAAATGATAGAAATTAATACTGCATTTTCGGTGAATATTCCATTAATCTACAAAGTCTGCCATATCTGGCCTCCCAGGGAAGTCTTTGAAAATGGGTGAAGACAAAGATTATTTTTCTGTTGGGAGTATCTGAAATCAGTGATGTACAATCATATGGAAAATTAGAAGTTGAACAGGTTGCTAAGTTGAATGTACCATATATCTACAAAATACTGAAACGCAAGCCCTACCATAGAGAAAACTGCATTGCTGAAAACTGCTAAAACTTAGATTCCTAGATTCAAACCAAAAACTTGCCTGGATAATTTCTACGTTCAGGCCTATCAGATGTAGCTGAGCTCAATTATATATAAATATATTTTTATATATGTATGTTTATATATCAATATATTTATATCTATCTTTTACATAAAATATCAATATAATATGGACACAACCATATATATACATATAGGATTTATCTTCTCTAGTTGTTTATCACAGGTATCCAGTCTACCACAGTTGTGTGGACTGTGTTTACAGTCAACGAGAGACCCATGCAGCTCCAACAAGCAGTCTTGTAAATATTTTGGTTCAGACCTACAGACGAAATAAAGTCTCCCTTGGGTAAGTTAAATGGGGCATATTCACTGACTTTCTGTAGTCCTTCCTTTATATTGCACAGGACACCGGGACCACTAGCAACAARTAATACTTTACCCTAGCTTTCCTAGCTTGTATCCTCTTTAAACATTCAGGAATGACAGCATCTTTTTCATTTTTTAGCACCATCCCGGGAGACTGTGTTTGGATTATTTCTGCAGCAAAGCAGGCCTTGCTGCTGAGCTGGGAGAGGGCCTCTCAGAAACACCTGCTACTCCACTTCCTCTAGCAATAAAGTCTGGCCGTGTGGGTCCTGAGGGTGACAGCTAGTAGGCTTTTTGGCCACCCACACGTCAGGGTAACAACCCAACGCTGTGGCAAATACAGGAAGCACTGCTGAAAGTGGGAGGAAGCCTGTCTGTATCTGCCTGCTCTCAGCAGGGAGGCTGCTGCTCAAGCAAAAGCAGTTGCCTGAGACCTGGGTATGGCTTCAGTGACTACCAAGCCTGAATCCTTCTCCTGGGAGGGTCTCCAAAGGAGTTTCCGGATAAAGGAATGAAGTCCTGTTGAAAGGACTGAGAAGGAAATTCAAAACATAAGAGTAGCTTTCTATTGTTTGATAGTGTACAGATTTTATTTCTCAGGAGAAGCAGGCAGCTTCTCAGTAACTTAAAGAAATATTTATTTTTCTCATACTGATGCAGAGTGTTAGTAATGTTTTGGGTCTGTACCTAATGGTGAAACATTGGAATTGACATGTAGTTTACAGCAGCTCTACAGTCTCTCRTAACAGTTCATAGCTATTTCAGATACATTCAAACTTACCATACCAATTGAAAGCARATTTTCAGCTGAAAGGGCTACATATTGGAATTGGCTTTCATTGATGTAGTGACAGATGTGTTCTAACTTGTTCCCAAGGACCATGTGGAACTGAGGTTTAAAATAAAATCTGTCCTAATTGATCTAATCTGAACTTTATTTCTTTTCTTTCAGAGGCTCTGGTCTGTCTGTTGGTGCAAAATTTTGATGGAAGAAAAAGACTTGAGAGAAAGCACAATTTCAGAACAAAATTTGTATTAGAATTTTATAGCTGCAGCAAAATACAGAACACTGAACAGTACAAGTCTAAGTGAAACGTAAGCATCAAATGAGTGTGCTGAAAGTGGCATCAGTATGAAATTCATCTTCCCTTTTATGATCTGGCTTTCAGATATTGCTTCCAGGTACATGTTTCCRTGTAATATCCATGCTGAATAGTTGAACTTAAATCTGCTTTTGACACAGCATGTAAATGAAATGTTTGTGGAGACAATATAGGTTATCTCCACACGTAACTGTAGCCATTCAGAACCTGATGGAGACAGGTAATTAGTAATTGTTGAAATTACTAAAAAGCTTTTTGTCAACTTCAGTGGGTTTTGACTCATGCTTTCAGATGTTAGTGAGAAAGGCATAACACCTAGGTGGATTGATTGGCATTGTCAGGTACTAGTACTCCCTGCACATGGTTGCTAAAAACCTCTTTTCATAAGAACATTTGTTTTTGAGACTGTGTTTTGGGGCTTGTGAGTTCGCTTGAACATTCAAATGTCACCCTCCAGCAAATGAGAAATTATTCCTGTGGGCGAGGGTGAATCAGCTCGTGTGTCTGCCTGTGTTAGTCACCAGGATCTGTCTGGGTGCAATGTGGTCAGCTCTTTACATTTAGAAGAGAAACTGGTAATAAATGTAAAGCATTTCCTTCACCCATCTGTTTCAGTTAAGACCGCAAAAATAGGTCTATTATAAAGATAAACAAAACTAATGAAAGAGTGGGTGTCAGCATCCTCATAGGAAGGCACTGTATTTTCTTCAGATTTGTTTCATCTTTTAAAAATAGAAGTGTTTGTCTTTCTATTTGCTTGAAAAACAACATGCAGTCTTAGATAGCCTTTTGATAACACTGTTAGTTTTTATCTCTCATATTCAGTSTCTTGTACAGTGCAAGTTTGTAATGTCTTTTTATTCTATACTTACTAAGTGCATGATTTTAGTTCCTTGCATGTAGTAACATATATACACATTGTTTGCTCCCTCAGTCTGGATGACTCAGAAAGTAGTCTAATAAATACGTTATTTATAACTCTTCTGACATGCAGAAATATTTTCTAGACTAGCTCTATTTAGGGGACTGAAAAAATGAAATAATTTTTTTCCTCCTCTCTTTGGGGTTTTATTTTCTTTGTAAAATCAGTTTACTTGCCCACTTGTCAAGGAGACTCTGGATTTTTTTTTTTTTTTTTTTTTTTAAGAGATTTGCCTGGATAAGGACTGTGCAGTAGCTGGTTTAGGTTATAACCTGTGTTTTCATAGCAGTTCTCATTAGCTGTTTCTATGGCAGACAGTGTGCATTGACCTCATCATAGCAGTGCTTCTGCATTTTACTGAAAGCCACAACTCTCACTGGTCCACACATTTGATTTATTCACGTCCTGTCTTCTAAGCAAATATGAGAAGATTTGACTTGGAGCGTAATGGACATCTGTATTGCTGTGCATTCTTTATATATTGCTGTGTATTCTTTATTTTCTGTCAGCTATACAACAAGTATTCATTTTTCCATGGTGTTTTATCAAAGCAGCTCCATGCAAAAGAAGGTGAGTAGACACAATACCCTGACACTGATTTACAGTTCCACACTGGTTTTCAAAAATTAAGAGCATTTTGACATTTAGAGTTTCTGCTTGAGTGCAGCTATTCCAACACAAGTTACAGATTTATCATGCTGTATTTTCTCTTTCAAAGTRTCATTGGAAAGATCTGCCAAAATCAGCTAGGAGCAAAATTCCACAAACTTAGATTGTGGCTCACCTTTTGGGCATTTTCTTCACTGTTGAGATTAATTTTATTTAGCAGGTATTTATCAGATTAAGTGCTTTTTCTTTAGGCATTCTTTGCTTTCCTTGATATTTCAGATAGAATTTTCTCTGAGGCTTTGACTTCAAATGTTTATTAACTGCAAGTAATCATCTGACTGAAACAGTGATTTCCCTTGTATGACACTTGTCCTCTAGGGATGCAACTGCAAACATTCCTTTGGCTATCAAACAGCCATGAGTACAAAATGAGTTCTTGCAACTAACATGGGGTTATTCTTAAAAGACAAAGTAAATTGCTGAAAGATGCATTTGTACTCTCAAAAGATTTTCACTGTCGCACTCCCATTTGTACAATATCAACATGGACATACCTATACTCTCCTGTGAACTTTCAAAATTTCATTGTTTTCGGTAATCAAAATATATCAATCAGGAAGGCATCTGTTTCTCTGGGGGAACCACCATCAGTAATTCTTTGTGGAAGATGTTGTTAGCAAATCTATACTTCTTCTAACATGAAGACATTTTCTTAATATGATTTGAGTGGATAGRTAAGACAAATGATAAAGCAAGCACCTTGATTTGAAAAGAGAGAATCTCTTGGTACTAGATAGATTTGTGGTAARTATGCAACAATGTATTATCTTCCTATAGCTTTAAATAGAGATACATCCCAAGCACTTTGGAAATGGAGAACACAGAGAGAAAGTTTAATTTTAGGTMCATTTAAGTCAACATAGGGGTTTAACTCAGAATTTATACTGTTATCAAATTTATATTTCGTACAAGGTCAGAGTGTGGTATGAAGGCAGAGTTGGAGGAAGTCTTAACAATGACAACTAGATTGCTGACTGTGGGACAGTTTGTAACTGAAAATCTTAAGCACTGATTGCTTTTGTTGAGATACCTGTGCTTTGCATTAGTATTAGATATGTTTAAGTTAATTCAGGCTAGTTGTTGTATGATGGCAAGGACAGAAGAGGTCTACATGGGTCTGGGAGCTGACTATGAGGGTGCTTTAGGAGGAAGACTTTGTGCTGCGGACATGAAAGCAGGAGCTGCGATACTAAACAGGGGCCTGTGAGAAGCTAATGTGAGTGATGAGGGGGCACCTGGCTGATCAGCAGAAGGTGAGTGCGCCCAAGTGCTGTGCCTCAAAGGTGTAAGATGGGGTTCAAGGAGGTGGAAAATGAAGAGCAAGAGGAAGGAGGAGGGCAAAAAACACACACAAGAAAGCAGGGCTGTGGCCAGAAACTCATTTCAAACCCATTATGTGTGGCATTTCATATGCCAGCAATGTTAGCTGAATCCCATAAGAATACTCTGAGAGAAGCTATTTCTAAATTTAATTTTCTTTGCCCATCAGTACAAATGTTTGAGTAAAAATAAGCTCGTGGGATGTTAATGGGAAAAATCCAGGTATATATAAGAATTCATTCTGAAAATATTTCAAGTCAGGGAAAGGAAATACGGATGTAGGATAGTCTGCCTAAATTTCCACAGTGCARTGCATCTCAACAAATGACTCTTGGCAAATTACCCATTCCACCTTTGAGTCTCAAAGAGTTGCACATGTCTAATATCCACTAAAGGTATATTTCCATTTTAAATAGTATTTTAATAATACTAATTTAAAATATATATACAAATATAAAAATAAAGTTAGTCAAAGGTTTATTTCAGTTTGGTAAAACATGGGAATGTGTCAGGAGACCCCTTTAAAATCTGTAAAATTATCTAGAAAAYGCTTATGAAAAATTCTGTTCCCTCCTTCTGAGCTGGAGATGTCAAGTGCTCATCTTAGTAAATAYGATTTTATTTTATAGAAAAATATTTTAATTTGAGTTTAGTTCTTGATGCAAGACGTTAAATCTTTATGAAGGTCATAAGAAAGCAGAGGATTAGCACAGACTGAATAGCTAACATAACCCCCTATGTCACTTGAGGAGTACATGTAGTTAACAGTGGGCCCAAACTCTTGCAAATCGTCATTTTTCAGTTCTAAAGCTGTCTATGAATTCCCTTTTCTGAAGTGGTTGAATATTCTAGATTTTTGTTATTCTGAAGGTCTCAGGAAAAGAAGTACAAGTATATATATATATAAAAAATATATATAATCTCCCCTTTTATTTCACTCTGCATTTGATACTGAAATGTAGTGACTTTATTTCACCGAAGCTTTTCAGAGCAGGGAGGTTATAACTGCTGTTTATTTGTTCTGATGACTGACCGAGTTATCATCTAAGATAGAGCATTGCAGCTTCGTACATCCACATTTGTAGCCCTAATAATGTGCCTGTGTACTACACAAGGAAATTGCAAGTAAAATGTCATTTTCAAGTTATATGCATTCTCATGTGTATGTAAATACTCATAGCCTCACTTCTTGCTGCTACAACAAGTTGCAGTCATTGAGAAAGATTTTTTTTGTGGGGGTAGGAGTATTTATTCTTCAATACATAAGTGGAAAGAGCTGATTCTATCCAATCTACAAAGCTCTCTTTAAAACAAATTAAGAAGTGAAATCTAAAGTCAGTACAGATAACACTGTGTCCATCTGGAATTCCCTTGCAGTATACAAAAAAGCAAAGTATTTTGTSTAGATCTTTATGGAAAAGGTGAAAATAATGTGATTTATACTGTTAGATTATTATAATTCAGCTATGAAGTAGGATTTATTTTCAGTTATGTGAATACAGCCATAATCTAGATTATGACACAYGATGAAAATACTCTCTTGTACTGATTTATCAAAGCAATCTGCAAGATGTGTGCACATATTTGCTTAATTTTTTAAAAATGGGTGTGAACATTTAATCTTCTTTATGCTGCTTTGAAATGCATTCCTTCATTCTCCTCCGTGCTGTTTTTGAAACCTCTCAGTCTCAGCATGTGCTCATGTCGCTAAAAGCTACGGCCCAACAAATTTGCACTGAAGGTTCCAGGCACATGGATATTTATACACTGAACAGAAGCCTTACAGCCATATGGTAGTGTATGGGAAAGCACATTTTTAGAGGAAAAGCCCAAACTTGAAAGTTGTATATACATGAGTACAGCTTGTCTGGTGATATTAAAAGCAAAGAAAGATGGCAGTTCACCACCATGCTTAACTTTTATAGATTTCTGCCTCTGTTCTTTAGATATCTATAGTGGCCCACATCTTAATGCACCAGTTTGCATCCAGCGATGATTTTTTTTTTGTTGTCAGCAGATCTGTCCTCTCTCCATCCACCTTGGTAGGTAGCATGTGCTGAGCTTGCTTACACTGTGTTTCTTGGACTATACAAGCTAAACTGTGCTTAACTTCTGTGCTATATAAAGTGGAGCAATTTTAAAACTAGCCTGTAGCCATGTCCTGCTTTCCAGGGACCCAAAGGGTGGAAATGATTGCAGAGCAGCCTCCTATGTGGTCTTGAGGGTAGCAGTCCAAGTTGCTGACTGAACTAAAATTAACTCCATGGAGTGCTGTGTAGACTGGACAGGCATTTGCCTTATTTCTGTCTCAGCTGCTCCTGTTCCAGAGCAGATTGTCGGAGGCTGCTTTGGGAACTTCTGTGCTCACAGTGTTCAGATTTGGAAGAACACGSCATGCATTCCCCACCTACCGCCTCGTTCCTCCTGCACAAATGGTACTCAGGAGAAGGAGGCCTGGTGTACAGATATCAGATGGCAGTAGCTACTCCCATGCTTTCTTTTGAGGAGGGAGATGATCTGGGATTGACATAAGGAATTAGCACRACTACTTTTGCATCCAAATAGTGGATGAGATTTGGAAACTCAAATGTCATGGAGTTCTGGTTCACAGCTAGCCATTTTGGTGTGGACAGATCATTCGTTAGGATGATGATGGTGGAGGCTTGGGTTGTGTTTCGGTGTTCAGTGTACAGACATCTGCAGAATATGGTAATTGGAAATGTGCTTGAAATAATCTTATTTATTTATTTATTTATTACACCCCAAAGAATGGGTATCCAAATTGCTTTAGGGCATACATGAAGGCAGCAGAAGGTCACAGAATAGCAAATTATAATCTTCAATTAAAAATAGTTTATAAATCTTAATGGCCATCAATTTTACTTGAGGGATTGGAAACCATACATTACTAACCAAAGCTCCATATCCATCTTTCAGATTGTATAATTTATTGTAGAGAAAAAAAATTAGGAAATGTTTATATGAAAAAGTGTTTTCAAGTATTTAAAAATGTCTTTTCAAAGTGTAAACTTAGAGATGACACAAGGTAATGCTCTCACTCAGTTTCTGTCCTAAACCAAATTTGATTTCGTCTCACAGATAAGTTCTCTAAGCTTCACACTTGCTGGTATCCTTTGAGAAACCCCCTTACCCTAAACCACCAGTTTGGAGCTTTTGAGTCACTCATTATGCTTGTAGGAAAACACAGAATTGGGATATCTGCATCTCACTGTCCATATTATATGGCAAATATATATTTAATTCAACACAGAGAGTTGAATTCATTTTGGAGAAAAGTGTGRTCACGAATAAAGAYCTGTGATTCTGTGAGTCTGTATGAGCCAGGGACATGCACACACATCACAGATTAAGGTCACTAGAAATTTTAAACAGTATGATCACTGTTCTGAATGACTTGTTTCATTTCTTTCTGTAGGACACATGCTGAAGAATCCCATCTCTGGTGCAAATCCTAAAGATACATCCTGGACATATACACTGTTTCTCTGACAAAAAGTGAAAATGCAGCCTCTGCTTTACTGGAGTTTGCATGGTATATATGCCAAAGAGGGTGTGCTCCTGGCTGCTTCTTGGAGATTTGTTGCACTGTCTGCCTGGTAAGTCAAACCACATCTTTAATTTGTGTTTGTAGACAGAATAGTGACAGAACCAAAATGCAAAAAATTTAACTGAATAACTAGAGGAACTGATTATTATGAGTACAGTGATGGTTGAAATTATAAARTTCAGTATGAGATCTCATAGGATCTCCCTTTGAAACTYCTGTTATGCTTGTGACTGACACTGAGTTTCGTTGGTGGTATAAATTGAATATCCTGTTATGTACATTTCCATTTTCTGTTAAAATACAATAGTACTCATGGCTAGCTAGTGCCAATAAAATGAATGTTATACTATGAGTAAATATGTTTTCTTGATTTTTTTCTTCTTTCTATGTATATATAAATGATGAATTGTTCCAAAATAGTAGTAGTAAGAGATCTGTCCAATACATCTTCAACCAGTTTTAGAAAAGCTTCTCATTTCTTTTCTGTCACTTCCCTGTGAAGGGATCCTTTCATTTAATGCAATAGGCTGGGCAATCTGTACAGTAKGGTTATGAAACAATTAATTTCTTTCTCTGTGTGAGCTTCTACATGACAAATAGTGTATAATTACTAATTCACCGAGGCTGCTTTTCCAGTTATCCAAATTTAGCAAGGACACTATTCACTATTCTCATATCTTTCTGTAGAGCACACAGATCAGTCTGGGTTGAAGCAGGTTAATGTCTAGTTCAAACTCTGCAATATCCCAGTTTTGCATCAGGAATGCAACTGGAATTAGCCAGGAATTYGCTTTCTTTAATTGCAGAGGACTTGTTTTTCCAGATCCATAGAAACTTAATCCCATCTTTACCATCTTYAGTGAAGTTAGTAAAGCAGCGTTCAAGGCTTGGAGACAAACTCTTTGCTCAATTGGAGCCTTTGCTTTGATCCTGTGAAAGGATTCAGACCTTTGTATTTATACAAGGATTTCTTCAGTCATTCATATCTCAAGAGTTAGAACTAACAATATTCTCTTTTTTTATGCTTTTTTTTTTTTTTTAGTATAGTCTCTCCTAGGAGTTGGGTATATTGTTTTAAGTGAAACTGTAAATTGATTCTTTTTGGTTGAGTGTCTAGACTGAAAGCTCCACAAGCCTGTGCTGCCTTCAAGATAACTATTATGTTTTGGGTTTTGCCTGAAAAAGAGCTCCATTTAAAAGCCTTTTCAGCTGTTGTACTCTATTGTACTTCCAGTATGAAAAGAATTGCAGTGATATGAAAAGAACTGAAAAAGTACTAAAAATATTAGTATTTAGAATTCTAAGTTTTAATATTTTCTTAGGGTGTGGGACAAATATTTACTAAACACATTGTTGTAAATTGTTGTTGTTGATGTGTCTCCTGCCCATGAGACATAGATTTATGTCTTTTTTTCCTCTAATTCCTTTTTGAGTGATCTTCTGCAAAAATATTATCTTTCTGCTGAAATCTGTACCAGTCTCATGTTCATATTTCTACACAAAACAAATTATACAGAAGAAAAAATGATAAGCTATGACTAAAAAGGATAAGCGCGGGGCATTTTATTTATGTTTCACAAACAACAGACAACGTCAACGTACAATGCACAATGTCAAGAAATACTGGTTCAGAGTCATCTCTAGTGTCTAATTACTCTGCACATAGCTCTTGTTTTCACCCTCTCTGCTAAATAAGTTCCTGCATGGGCAGCCAGAGGAAGTGGTGAACCACCCCCACGGAAGACTTTATGTTTGGTTTTAAGAGTAGATTTTTACAAGCTTGCTGTGGTTTTGCATGCATCCACTGCTAATATTTTATCTCTTCTTTTCAAATGAAAAAGCAGTGCTAAAAGTGGCAAAAAATTGGAGTTATTGCTGGTGTCCAAATCATGCCATATGTCTGACAGATTTTCCATTATCTGAAAAAAAAGTGATTCTGGAAGTTGTTTGATATACTCCAAGTTGCTGATGTGATATTGCTATACCGAATTTAGTAAAAAAGCCTCTGTGTTTCCCGTTGAAGTGTATTTGTAGGTGAAAGATTCCAAGCTGCTGCCTTGTGGAAGTGTGCCTTGTGCTGTGTCATGCCCTTTCCTGGTATAAAATCTCCAAGGCTTCAGTTACCAAACCTTTAATTTAACTTGAGACACAAACCTACTGTCAGACTTCAGTTCATGTAACAGCATGGGATGCTTGTCTGCTTGATTCATCAAGGTGCTTGTTGCTTGACAAGAGAAKTGTGTTGGTTAATCTTGAGCTCTCGCTACCACTTTTCCTACAGTCCACACAGTTTGTAGGTTCAGGCTGCTGGAAACTATTCATACATTTGGATCGTATTTCTGCAGCAGTCGTGGGCACAGTGTACGTTTTCYTTGTTCAGAATTCCCCCAAATCTTAAACCACAGGGTGATTTAATTTTAGTCACAAGTAAAAGGAACAATGTTGAGACTTAAGGAGGTGATGAAATGTAGGAGTGTCACTTGTCTGGGCTGGCAGCATTGCTTTCCTGTATGATGAAGCCATTCTTTTTTTAAAGACCCAGTCACAATCCCACACTTGCTGAGAAAGACGTCTCTGATCTGGGGTCATGTGAAAATAATACAAATGCTTTTCTATAACTGCTATATTAAAAATAATCTATTTAAAGATGCTTTTACTAATAGGAAAATCTAAAAAATGCTYTATGGTTATGCTTTGGCTAAAAACTCTCTGCTTTCAGAACAAGTAAGATATAGTCAACTTGGAAGGGTCTTACAGCATCCTTCTCCCACTCAGGAATAATCTCAGACTTATTCCAAAGATCTGATTCTGTCTGCTTTTACTTTCCTATATGACCCCATTTCTAAAGCTATTTGAAGAAATCTTAAGTATTTAATGCACAGCTTTACTTCTTTTCCTCAATAACTTTCAAGTTGTCAATGAAAATTTTCAAAATGTCACCAAGTGCTCATGGTGTGTGTTTCAAATTTTGAAGCATTTCACCTAGCTGTGCAGATCTGGCTCTGAAAGCTTGGCCAGCAGGGCTGGCTGGGTTGATAGGACTTCAAGGAAGCTCTTTGTGGTATGTGGAGGGTAACTACATCAGAGCTCGTGGACAGAGTCTATTAAAACATGACTTCCTGATCCTTGTCCTGAGGTTAGTGAATGAACTATCATGGTTATTTTCTCTGCTATGTGTGTAGGCATTCTCTTATGCTCTACATTTCTTGACAGTTCCCTTATGTTASACATTCCCATGTGACAACAGAAGGGTTTCCTTGCTGGAAAAGTCCTGCCTCTGCTTCACTTCTTGGTCCTTGTCCTTCTAATGAGGATAGGCAATACTTAAAGGCACTCACCTAACAAATACATCTTCTGTTTAAAACTTCCTTTAATATTTTGTTGTTTTCCTGCTTTATTGATTTATTCTAATAAAGTATAGTAGGGATTAGTTTATAATTTGTAGTTTGTGCTCATGTAATCTTTCTGTATATAATAATATGTCTTTTCATTTCAGTCACTGATCTGGTGTCCAACTATATGTAGAGGCAGCCTACATTTATTCTATTAACACTACTTTGTTTTCTTTTTCCCAAAATTCATCAGAGAAAAAATACTATATTTAATATTTAGTCTTTCAAAAATCACATGTCCTTTACTTTTGTAAGTACACCCTAACTTCACTCATATGGGAGTCACCTCACTCATTCATGCTTTCTRTTTATTACTATTCTGTGCAAAATGTTCTATGCAAGATAGCAGAAGAGAAAGGTTTTCACCAGTAGAACAGAAAAGCTATGCAAGCTAATTTAGGCACAGAACTGTGTAGATTTASTTTCCTTAGTTTCCTTAAATTAGTATCTAGCTGAAATGAGAAGCAGCTCTGTGCTTCAGTCTCCCAGCTCCCTCAGCATCCCTTCTCCCAGGTTGCCTTTCTCCCAGCCTTGGCCCAGAAAAACTGGTAGGACAGAACCACATGGAGAAGTGATTACATGGAGAAGTGATTACAATATGTGAGGCTTTTTTTTCCTAAATCTCATGTGAAAGCAGCCAAACTATACGAAGTCCAATGCTGAAACTAGCGTTAGATAAGGAAGAATCCTGTGAGCCATAATCCCCTCTGAGAGGAATGTTCCCCACAGAAGGGACCCAATCGCCTGATCCTCCACTACTGAAGCCAAGCACCGCTCCTGCTGTGGTCAACAAACTTTACTTGAATCAGCACTGGGGCCACACACAGCAAACTGGGATTCTCTCCTAGAGGAGCAATGTCTCTTAACACCTTAGCAAACCCTGCTCACCCTGGCAAGGTGTCTGAAGTTACTGTGTAATCAATCTAGACTGCAAGGTAAGTAGTCATGTTGTACAAAAGCATGTTTGGGACCTGACACTTGCATCCTCTCTCGGGCTATCCAAATGCTTTCACATTATAATAGGACACAGGAATGAACGAAATTGTGTCAGTTCTAATAACTCTGCAGCAATGAATCCTTGGAAACACTTGCTTGAAGAAACACAGATAAAAGGAAAATAAAAGTTGATTTACTTTTTTTTATGACGAGTGCTACTTAAATTCTATATCTAAGTGCAATCAGACCCTCAAGGACTGTTTCATTTAGCAGAAGTTGTTTAAGATTTTATTATCTCCTGTTGTTCACTCCACTCCTCTGCTGAGGAGCATTTCTTTCGTAGCAGAAAGACAAAAAGAGAAATGTATCTGTACTTGTGTTTAATGCAAACCATTGGTATAGGCCCATTTTTTTTTGGAATTTTAAGTAAATCAGGCAGTATAGTAGGACAATGAATGTACAGAAACATGTCATGCTCCAATAGATTTTTATCTATCATAATATTAAGAAAAAATAAGATGTTGAACGGGTTGTGTTAGTGACACTGAGGTTAGAATTAGAAGTGGGGTTTGTGTGGGCTCACRTTAGCCTCACAGATTTGCCCAGGAGAAGACATATTTGTCTGGATGAAAGCTAAAACCGACACTGGCAAAAGCAGAGTTAAATTTTCCAGACTAATTTCCAAAAATGTTCAG